TTTCCTTTTAATTCATCTCGATCTGACCGTTTTATATTTTGGGTTGTTCTACTCCCGCACTTGTTTCAACTTGGTTTACGGTTGCTGCATATTTGCGGTTTTTCTTGAGTCTCCGTCGTCCTGAACATTTTATATGTTGATGTTCTGATTTCTCTTGGGTCATATTCAACAAAGGGGCATTTTGGTGAAGAGTACGCAAGTTGGTGGGCTTTGAATCTACGGCAAATAGCTTCCTCTATCATAAACGTTTGAATAAAGTAGTATGCACCTGATTTCCTTTTTGGCACGAAAGCATTGTTCCGAACACCTTGAAGTTCTTCTCGACTTCAGGTGTTGGACTTTCCTAGATAGCACGAAGCTTCAAAATGCATCCTTATTGGAATAGACCCCTTCAAATCTTAATAGGGGCGCTATTTCAAGATGCGGAGGCATCCAGGGAGGCGTCCGGTGTTCAATCGAAAGTGATATGTTTTACGCGATTTTGAATGCGTTGCGATTACAATGCCCCCCCCCCCCAATCTTGCGAAATCGCCTCATTAGGTTTGTTCAGCCGTCATCGTACCAATAACCTTTCAGATGCCCTCCAGCGTTGCAGAATCGAGCACGTCTTCTGATGAGAGCGAGAAACACTCCCAAAAGAGTATAAGTCCTCCGTTCCGCTATCGAAGGCGGTAAGTTTCTTCGGTGTTAATAATTCAATCCTCCAAAAAGATAGCTCATGGTTTTGCGTAAAACTTGGAATCTTTTTGAAAAGTAATGATGCGAACGTATCAGCTGAATTGCTAGCTTTATTTCCAAGTTCTTTTGTTCAGGTCCAGGTCTCAAAGCGGGTCAGTCAAGTCAGGGTCTCGTTCTCCTCAAAGACGACGTGATAATGTCAGAAGAAGGTAGCGATTTTGAGACTTAAGCGTTTTCTTTCTGCTCATGGTTGCAACTTGATGATTCCATCCAACTAGTTGTGGTACATTTGTAGTGTTCAGATCTCGAAGCCGTTCGGCTAGGTCAGGGTCCCGATCTCCTAGGCGACGTCGTGAGAAAACTCGTGCAAGGTAGTAATCGTTTCTCAAAACTACGTTTTGACTAACCAGCGTTTATTTTTTTGTTTTTTCTCTGTTCAACTACTCTTTTCAATAGTGGAAGAAAAGCACGAGTTCAGATCTCGATCTCGCAGTGGTTCCGATCACTCATCTCCTCGTCGGTCAAGGAGAGGTGAAGTGCGCAGAAGGAGAAGGTAATTGTCCATTCTGTTATTGACTTGCTAGGTCCAATAATTTTTTCCTACTAATTAGCTATCAGAGTGAATTCACAGTCTACTTTCAGTCGATCCGACTCCGAATCAGCCAGATCACCAGCACGCCGAGGACGCACGCCTCCAAGAAGGCGTGAACGATCACCTCCTAGAAGGTTTCGGTCCCCACTGGAAAGAAGAAGATCTTTTTCAAGGTGGGGACGGTTGCTCAAATTCATGTCTATTGGCTTCACGTTTTTTCCCCAGTCTGGCGATTCCACTCATACCAGGTTTTATTGGTCATGGTCCACTAAAATTGGCTCACGCGGATTCTTCCCTCTGTTCTATGCTCCCGACCTTAAAGTATACACCCTCTCAGGTCTGGTGCATAGGTCTGTTCCTGGAAAAACAAAGAAATTCGAAAAGACTGAAAGTCCATCAGAATATGCAACACATATACGGGTGTACTTGCTTTCTGTTGTTTGGATACCAAAAGTAGCGCTTTTATAGCCATATTTGTCGGCTTGCCATTTTCAAACGCCCATGAAGGGAGGAAAAGGAGGCAGCTGCCAACATGTTCTGTTTTGGCCAAGCTAAAGGAAATTGATAGCAAGGCGCCAAGTATTGGAGGATCTGAAATGGGTCTTCTCTCCTCCTAATCCTGTCGTGGATTTGACAACTCGCTGCCAGTAGAGTGTTAGATTCAGGGAACCCTAACGTTCACCACGCCTGCCTTCGCTTTTTGAACACACTTGATGTCCTGGTAGTGAAGCTCCCCATCCATTTACACAGGTATAATTTTTTCCATTCCGATTCAGAAATGGAAGAAATGTC